CACACACACACACACACACACACACACACACACACACACACACACACCCCTCCCTTAGCAATTTCTATGAAAGGAAGGTACTAGCAGCAGGAGGGAATCAGGACAATATTATATAGTAAAACTATAAAGGTGAATTGAGCCTTTTAGTTGAGTAATGAAGGAAGCAAGGGACTCTAAGAGGCAGAGGAGAAGGAGGTCTGTATTCCGGGCATGGGAGGCTGTCAGTACAAAGTGATGAAGATGGAGTATCATATGTGAAGTACAATAAGAAGGCCAATGCCTAGCTTGACTCCAAGGTGGTGTATGAAGAGTAACATACAACAAGATTGGAAAGGTAAGCTGGGGGCAGACTGTGGTGGGCTTTAAAAACCAAAGTCTATATTTAATCCTAAAGGCAACAAGGAACCACTGGAGTTTATCGAGTAGGGGAGTGACATGGTCAGACCTGTGCATTAGGAAAACCTGTCCAGCCCTAATCTCTCTGCTAGCCAACAGTCTCACTTTTCCAACTGCCTACTGTACATCTTGAACTGACTATAACAGACATCTTAAACTCAACCCATCCAAACTGAACTCATTATCTTTCTTCCCAACCTCTCCCCTCCTCCTTAGCTTACAACCTCAATGTTACTCAATGTCACTCCTCATTATCTCACCCCTCATATCCAATCAGGGATCAAATCCTGTCAATTTTACTGTTGTAACTTTTCTTGCATATGTTCCCTCCTTTGACATGGTCACCAACCTGATGTGAGCCCTCAATACTTCCCACTTGGACTATTGCAACAACCAACCAGTTGGTCTCCCTGCCTTAAGTCTCTCCTCACTGCAATCCATTCCTAAAACACGGCATGATGAACCTTCATGACTATGAACTCCAGTGGTTCCCCATTACCTCTAGGATCAAACACAACATTTTCTGTTTGCTTTTCAAAGTCTTTTATAACCTTTCCCTTTCCTAGTCTTTCTAAATCTTACTTCCCTCCATACATTTTGTGATCCAGTGGCGCTGGCCTCTTCATTGTTCCTCAAACAAGACACTCCATCTCCCGATTGGATGCATTTTCACTAGTTGTGCTGAATGTCTGAAATGTTCTCCCTCCTCATCTCTATGTCACATTTTCCCTGGTTTCCTTTAAGTCTCCCCTAAAGTCTTGTTTTCTGCATCATGCCTTTCCCTATCCTCTTTAATCTTAGTGTCTTCCCTCTAAGATTACCCCTAATTCATCCTGTATGTATCTGTCTTGTTTGTATGGATTTTTTCGCATGTTGTATGAGCTCCTTGAGAAAAGACTTTTTTTTTGCCTTTATTTGCATTCTCAGAACTCAGTACAGTGCTTGGCACACAGTAGGCACTTAATAAATACTAGCTGACAGACTGACTTTAGCAGCTGTGTAGAGGGCAGACGAGGTCAGGAGACCAAATATGAGGCTACTATAATACTCCAGGTGAGAGGTTATGAGAGCCAAAACTTGAGTGGAGAGAAGGGAACTGGCTAAAAGAAATGTTCTTGGGGCAGTTAGGTGGCGCAATGGATAGAACACCAGCCCTGGAGTCAGGAGGACCTGAATTCAAATCTGGCCTCAGATACCTAACACTCACTAGCTGTGTGACTCTGGGCAAGTCACTTAACTCCAATTGCCTCACCAAAAAAAAAAAATGTTCTTGAGGTAGAAAAGATAAGATATGACAAGATAAGACAACTGACTGTGTATATGGGGTAAGGGAAAGCGAAGAGTCAAGGATAATGTGAAGGTTGTCAACCTGTACAATTAAAAGGATGGTGGTACCTTTGGCAGAAATAGATGATGAGGTTTCTAGGTGAGACTGTAGAGCAAAAACAGAGGAAGACCCAGTACACAGCCTTGGGGTACAAGCCCAGTGAAGGGTATGATATGGATGATGAACTAGCAAATGTGATTGAGGAAGGCATATATTCAGAAATGAAAATGAAATAAAAACAAAAGATAAAAATAAAAAATTTTAAATTGAATGAAAAAATAACCCACTAAAATCTCAATTTTGGGAATAAAAATTAGTGTGGAAAATCATCTATTGGCCTTCCTTCTAACTCTTCCTCTAACCTATGAGTAAAAAGATTCTTTCTCTCTCAAAAATTAGTGCCTTGGGAAATCAAATCTGAATGTTTTCCATTGTTCCTTACTATGAACTTAACAAACATGGAAAACCTCTATATGCAGCAAATAAGAACTAAAAAAGGATTGTATATTAAACTATGAACTTTTGTAATGACATATTTTTTAAGGGTACATAAAATTTAACATGGTAGTAAGAAAAGTGTCACATGGGTCCAACCTTCTAAATGTCTATTCGTTTTCTTCTATGTATTTTTAAAGGAGTAGTCAGTACTTTTTTGCAGAGAGGAAATGGTCTAGAAGTGCAGGAGGAGAAAGGCATTTGTACATGGCCAATGTGTTGATACACTTTTCTTGACTATGCTTACTGGTTACAAGAATGGGTTAGTTAAGGGGCAAGGGAAGGGAAGGGTTGTTACAATGATTAATGATAGAGAAGCAGAAAAAAAAAATTATCCCTTCTTGTCCTACCTCTGATGCTGAATAGCTTTAATTTAACTCTTATACCTCTATTTCTTTTTGTATAAAATAGAAATAACCAGGGATGAAATCTGACTAACAGCTTGAGGAAATCATATACGGTCAACTGACATTCAAAGCAATTGAAACAATTGTTAAAGGCATTACATGCAAGGCACTATGAGAGATGGTAAAACCACAAAAATGAAAAACTACAGAGTCCTTCAAGAAGCTTACATTCCAAAGGTGGTAGACACGGTATGGCTTTGACAGATTACAACCTGCTTTCTTCACAACCCTGTGAGGTAGAGGCATGTATATCATCCTAAACTGACAGAGAAGGAAACTGAGGTTCAGCTAGAATGCATCACAGCTGAGCCTGTAATTCAGATCTTTTCTGATTTCAAGTCCAATATTCATTCAGTTAAATACCATATTGCCATGTTAAGGACAAAGGAAGGCTCAAGAAAAAGTGCTCTGAATATTATGAAGACAGAGAGAACACTTTCAGCTCAGGATGGGGTAAGGGCATCATGAGAAAGCTTTATGGAGGAAGGGCCATCTGAGTTGAGCTTTAAAGGAAGAAAAGGATTTCAACAACTAGTTCAATAATGAAAGACTGTGTTCCTGGAATGAGGGATGGTCTGCACAAATAAAGGAAGATAGGATAAAACTGAAGAACAGAGAGCAGTCAAAAGTGGTTGAAACATACAGATAATGAAGGTAAATAGAGTGGAATTAGGTTGCAGCCAGATTGTGGAAACTTATAGGTTTCTGGTACAACAATAGGTTCTGGTACAAAGTTATTTATATTAACACTATTTGTGATGTTTGAAGTTGCTTATTGTTTCAAAGTAGCTAACCTATGAGAAACTGCTCATGTAAGAAGACACAATTGGGAAGTATGATTGAAAAGGAGATAACGTTGTGAGACTGAGGAATAAGAGACAGACCACAAGGTGCAATGGTACCCAGCAAACACTAGACGTTTATCGGAGGATGGTCCTGGCACATCATGGAGATTTCATAGGAAACATGTCTGGGAAGACGTGATGATTAGTCACATAGGATAAGAAAGCATGAAAGACAATCTGCACCAAAGGGGAAGGTACCCACAATAAGGAACATGGATCTAAGAGGTTGAAGCTTGACTTGTTAAAAATACTGGCTGTACCTCAGTTTTCTCATCTGTAAAATGAGATGTTTGGAGTAGATAATCTCTGGAGGTACTTCCTAGCCTATGAATGTAGGATTCTGTGCTTCTGATAATAATGAAAACATGCCTCACATTTAACACTGGTACCTTGAATCTAAAAGGGCCTTCCTGACAACCTTGCGAAGCAGGTTGCACAAATATCATTATCCCTATTTTTTACACATAAAGACAAAGAGGAGCAGAGAAATCTAAAATGACTTGTTCAGGGAAACATAGCTAGTAAGAATTGAATCCCACTCTTCAAAATTCCTTATTTTAGTTGAGGACAACACTATTCATTCCAAATGCAAAAGATTTGAAACCTTGACATCATTCTTAACCCTCCTACACCCCACCCCCAGCCCCTTAACTGCACAACCACTTAATACACAATCACTTGCTAAGTCTTGTAAATGCTACTTTCACAGCACATCTCACATTTATCCTCTTCTCTCCATTCCCACATTCACCACCCTAAATCAGGTTCCCAGAACTTTTTACCCTGATTATTGCCACTGCCTCCTAACTGTGAGCCCTACCTCAAGTCTCTGTTGTTGCCAATCCTTCCTCCATGAAAATGCCAAAATAAATTTCCTAAAGTACAAGTTTGACCATATTACTCACCTGCTGAAGGACCTTCTGCTGCTCCCTAAATGCCCTCAGGACAAAATACAAAGTCTTCATTTGGATGCTTCCCAATCTGGCTCCAGTCTACCTTTCCAGGCTTATTTCATATTATATCCATTTGTGCACTCTATATTCCAGCCAAAATAGCCTCCATGCTGTTCCCCAAACTCAGTATTCTACCTTCCACCTCTGTACCTATGCATATGGAAAAGACTGGAGACTACTTTTACCTAATTGAGGCTCTCTCCTTTATG